TTCAAGTTTAACTCAGTCAAAATGGAGAGCAGAGGACAAGAGAGTAGAAGAGGAAAGAAGAATAACTCATTCATGCTCATCAAGTGCTCCTCAGTCCATTTGCTGGCAAGACGAGTTGAGCTGGCTGCATTAAGGAACTGAAGAAAAAAAAAGAGGGCTACACCGAAAGGGTTGAAAAGGGGAGGGAGGGTTGTTAGTATAAAAACATTTTAAGAGGAGATCCCCACTCTCTTGAGGGGGTGGGAGAGAGTGTGCCCCCCACTTCTACACATACACACACGCATGTACTTTTGTCTTGCTTGGCACAGCCTCTTGTTTAGCCTTTAGGTGCCAAAGCAATTAGTTATGTTAATTGCAAGGTCCATTGCACTGAATGCAGGTTGAATGGGGCCAGTCAGCAGTGGATGATTGGCCAGGATCCACAGGGGAAGGGGAGTGGGGTTCGGGGAGTGGGGGTTGTGACGTTGCTGGAACACTCGACCCATGAAAACAGAGGATGGGACAGTGTGTGGGAAAATAGGGGAGGAGCTAGAGGTGGAAAAGAGAGATTGAGAGGGTGGGAGACAGAGCTTGAGAGAGCAAGCGTGAGAGAGGACGGAAATTCAGTCAGCAAAAGAGAGAGAATTAAGTAAAGCAGCCGTGGCGGAGTCGGTAGCAGAGATAGTAAGAGTGATAGAGAGAGCTTCACATGAGCGAAATAAAAGTAAGTAAGAGTGCGTGTAGTGCAGTGTTCGCTGGTCTGCTCGGTTATCTGTCTCCATCTGGGTGCCATCTGTGTCTTTGGCTCTGGCCTTCACCACACTGGGGCTCACATATGTGGGAATGCAAACACATGCCTGACATATGAAGGTGCGGAGTCACAAGAAGGGACAAAAAGCAAAGGATAAGAAAGCAAAACCCCAATACTGCAGCTGAGTTTCTCAAAGGACTGAGTGGACTCTACACTAGAGTGGAGGTAGGACTGAGCGTGTTCCAATATCAGTTTGTGTTTTTGGAGGATTTTTGTGTGTTTGTGTTTGTGTGTGAAAAATGCCTTGTTTTCACGAGTGAGTGAGTGTGGCAGATAGTCCACTTTATGTGCCTAGTTTGTGTGTTTCTGTGTGTGTTCCATCCTAAATCCCAGAGCTGCTCTGTGCTGTACAGATGGTGCCTCATCCTTATCTCTTCATCCTTGTTGAGTGAGGTAGAAGCCTCTTTTACCTGTGCACAGAAAATGTCTCCTGCCATATGGGCAAAATATTAATTGCCTTTTAAAAAATACTAATTTGTACTTATGTTTAGAAATATTTTAACATTTAACCAAGACTGTGTGGTTTGACTTTTCTTAGAGAAACTACAATAAACAGAACATTTTTGCTCTTCTGTTTCACATTCACCATTCTCTTTCCTTACCTTATTAGTGAAATGTATGTTTGTCCTATAGTTGCTTGTCTCAGTATGCAGGAAAAAAAAGATAACTACTATGAGAAAAAAGTTGCAGCATTCCCCAAAATTGGTGCAATGGAGCCAAATGTGTTCTTCCACAAAGTTTAATCTAGCTGGATTGGCTGTGATATCTGGAGCATACTTTTTTTTCCCTCTGTGGGATTCATGTGTGAACAGCCAAAACGGCAACCTCAACCAGATTTCTTTTTAAAAAACTGAGCAATTAGAGTGACTTTGTGTGTGAAAGGGGCTTATCTCTCTCAGCTGTCATTTCCTCAGATAGTAATCAGTTTTTCCACATGGCAAGCAGAGCAGAAGAAACTAGGTGAAGAAGACGTGTGCATCTGCTGTACAGTATCCCAGACATATGGGAAGAGGAGGGAAACTGCTGTGTCTGTCTTTCACGCTGTGCCTGCATGTTACACTCTGACATCAGTGGAGACGTTGATACTAGTGCAAATGTCACATTGTTGCATTGCTGTATATTTTGTCTGAGTTGGCCTTTTACAGTGCCATGCAGGGGATGTGTTCATGTTTCTTGTGCGCGGGGAGGATCTGACTGGAGACGCAGAAAGAGAAAAGGCAGAGAGACCTGGCCAGTGTCACACCAGACCAGGCCAGTTCATCGGGGAGATAGGAGCGACTAATTGTCGGCTGCACAGACTCAAACCAGAGACCCTTGTCTGGTCTGCTGGACTGTGTCATATTCCTGACAACAGGCACCGTGCTGTATCTGTGAGTTAGTGTATGTGTTTGTGCAGAGGACATTCAAGCTTCTTTTATTCAGAAATTTGATCCCACTTACATTCATTCCTGTTGAGCAGTTATAGTTTTTGTCTTAAATTTATGTGGCTTTGAAGTTTTCGATTGCACACTTCACAAGCGTACAGTATTTTTGAGTCTAAGGAAGTGAACGTGTCTCCATGTGCGTGCCAGGTGTCTTGCAGACATTGTGTCTGCTGAACTACAAGGTTGCTTGCCTTACAGCTTTCTGAAGCTTTTTTTCTTCTGACCTCAAACCCAGCTGAGTTTCTCTGCCAGAAGCAAAGTAATACATAGAGAAACAGACCACCATGACCCTTGCGTACTACAGAGAATACCCCCTGTTTCACCATGCGTATATACACACAGAACAGAGCAGCTGCTTCAAGAGTTTGCTGCAGGAAGTGCTCTATTAGTTCCAGTGGCGAGGTCTGTGATATCTGGCCCCAGGGGTTCAGTGAGACCGTGTGCTTATGAATGAATTTGAATGTTCTTGCTTATATGTTTACGTGTGTGGACACGAAAGGGTCACATCATTTAATCAACCGAGACTATGCAGTCAATACAAGTAACAACCCGGAGTGTTAGTGGGTATCGAGAGACATTTTAGCATCAGTAGGCACCCCCACTCTGGCCGTCCTTCCTGTTGCAGGCCAGTGATATTGTAACTTGTCTCACCTTGCAAAGTGCGTTATTAAGAGCTCTCCTCCAGTGGTTCACTGACCTGAGAAACCCAGTCGGTGACCCATGACAAAACCTTTATTCACTGGGCTGATGTGGAGAAGAAGTATCAACATCTAATTAATACGCTGTAAAATTGCGTAAGTAGTAGTTTTGGGTTGATATATAGTGACTTTGAAAATAGAAGATTAACACTTGTATTTTCAGAGTTGATGAAAGAGGTGGCATGTTACCAATAGTCTGTACGTAGTGCAGAGGACTAAATCACTTGGCTCAACGTGACTAAAATAGGTGCCAGGTCAGGGTATGGCACAGACCTTGTTTTTTGTTCAGCAGCATTACCTTCCTTCTCACATTGCATTAAGTCATTTCAGTGTTAAGCTGAAATGTCCAAGACTTAAGCATGAGGGCACACAGACGGACACCACTTTTCTACCCGCCCTAAAAAAACGGCATTTAACTTGTACAAATTTTATGGAAAGATTGTGTAATTTTCCAATTCTAAACCCAAAAGTCAAAAAGTGATACTCAAGAGAAAAAGAAGAAGAAATGCATTTGCTGTTTTGTTAGGTGTGTGGGTGGACAAGCAATGGGTGGCGTTGCCTCTCTCCATGAATTGTCTGTCATAGTCATTATTTTCTCCTTTCTCTGGCTTTCCACCCCCCATCTTTGCCTCAGTCTGAAGAAGTGTGGATGTAAATGAGAACATTTCACTAACAAAAACAGTCTTTTGCCTATTGCGATTTGGTTGAGACTTTAAATCACTCTAATCTACATTTTCCTTCCACAGCATTTTCTGTTGCAGCTACAGTACGCTGCATATTTTCCCAAGATATATAATAAGGAATACATTGTGTTCTTACCCATATGTTTGCTAAAACCATACAGTACTCATACACAACAATAACACTCATCAAAACACACCTCAGCTCACACGTTTACCCATCCTCCATTACTATCATTGTCTCATTCTCCACATTGTTTTGAGCACAGCCGGCCTCTTTGTTTGACTTATCTGTCTCTCTCAGCGGCTGTTGAGCTCTGGTCTTTTATACAGCTGGGCAAAGCCTGCCCACAGCTCCGTGTTGTTGTTGTTGTTTTTCTTTTATGGTACTCAGCTTTGAGTGATTGGATCGCCAAAATCCGAGTGTGACAGATTAGTCATCTTCATAGTCAAGGTTTAGAAAAAAGTAGATTTTTACTACAGTTGTGCTGCTTTCAAGCATGAACTCCAGAAAATGTTAAGAGAGAGTCAGGTTGGAACATGGTCCAGAGTTGTCCTTTCTCACATGTCCCACATTCACTAGCTGAGAAATCAGTGCACGGATACTAAACGGTCCAAAATCCCACAGATTTTTTTCCTGGAAGCTTTAAGACGTTTTAATCCGGCTTTATATTTGTTTTGTAGTTTTTTTATGGTTTGCTTGTGAACTAAGCATATTACTTCCTTTTCATGTGTTTGGCCAACAGTATGTTTTTGAAAGCAAGATCAATGCTGATCCATTTCCTTCTTAGCATTTTAGGATTAATGTATAAAAAAAATCCATAAGATTAACTTAAACACGAACCCCAATACTAAGCCATTGTACCAGCTCTCCCAGTCTCGGTCAAAACCTGCAGTTTAACTTCAGCATGCCATGTGGGGATGTAACATCTGGTTGGACCTGAGCCGAGGCCATAAAGCCTCTGACACCTGGTCCAAAACAGGCCAGCCTTAATGTTAGCTTTGTTTTCTTGTGTCTAGAGCTTGTATTTTTGTTTTATGGATTACTGTAACTTACTAGTTCAATGTGTGCTTTATTGTGCACACGTGTGTGAATGTATGTTAATATGGATTTGAGATCTTCATCATGAAACATGTACAGTGGGTGAGAAAATGGGGGCTACGCAACTTAATTTTTATACTGTCATGCTTCCATGAACATTACCACTGATTATATTCCACTTGCTGGTTTTGAGTTTGAAGACTCATCAGTCTCTTGATGATTGATGGGCAGGCTAACCAATTAGTTACAGAGAGGTGAGAAGGGTTGTAACCAGATAGGCAGATAATCCACTGGGCTCAGAGAAGGCTGGCTGGTGTGTGTGTGTGTGTGTGTGTGTGTGTGTGTGTGTGTGTGTGTGTGTGTGTGTGTGTGTGTGTGTGTGTGATTGACAGATTTGAACTGTCCTTGTAGTGCCATTGTTGTTATTTGTGTGGTCATGTTTATATGCGCCCTGGGCAGGCAACACCTGGTGAACAGGGCTAATACGCACACACAACGCACGGACAGGATGACACAAATACACTTAGAACTCTATACTCTATACTTTGGCCCAGATGTGTGTCACATTCATTTAACCTATTGATTATGGAAGCTCGATGTGAGTATTTCCCAGATATATGAGTATTACCCTTCATGCAAGAATCTTAAAGCAAAAATAACAATATTTGCATTCATTAGTGTCTTCAGTGTCTGAAATACCTGGGCATTAAATATTTGGGCTTTCTAAAAGAACTTAACAGCAGTATAGGTTGAAGTAACTTATACTGCTCTGTAAAAGGTGTTTGCACCACATTAAGTCAAAGGAGCTAGGAAAGAAAAGCGTCTGGACTTCTTTAAGTTGCTTGAAGACGTTTCACCTCTCATCCTAGAAGCTTCTTCAGTTCTAAGGTCAAATGGTGGAGAGTCCCAGATTTACCAGAACCTTCACAGACATATGCACCACATTAAGTTTCTGCCTTTCTGATCCACTGCTATGTTTTAAAAAAAAAAATCTAACAGCAATCAGTGACTGCAATGTGGTGTGTGGTGTTTTCAAGTGTTTTTAAGGTCAGCAACTTCAGATCCCATCCAGTCAGTCTTCTCCCTGCGGTCTGACCTCATACACATGGACACTGTGCATATTGTTATCCAGCCTCTGCCAAACCGCCTCTGCTTCCAGCATCACGTCACTGTACCTCTTTTTACTGCTCATTCTTAGTTTTTATAGACAACTTCTGTCTGCCTTGCTGTCCCCTCTTTTTCGTTTTCCTTTTCAGTTTGCCACTAAGTATATTTCCATCCCAGAGTTCCTTTTTTCACTATGTGGCACGCTGGATTACGGTGGTGTTTTTGCAATTATCTCTCTGAGTGATGAGGATATGCGAGGGCTTCTCTCACCATCAGCCTGTCATAGGGACATGTGATAAATTCACTTCGGAGACATGTCTGTGCTTCTTCATATGTGAGAATGAGAGTACTTTTTTGTCCAAAGTCATTCCTCCTCCTTCTCCTTACGTCTACAGCTTTCTTTGCTTTTTCCCTGTACTGTCAACCTTGCCACCTTCCTATCGTTCCCCTTCCTAGCAGAGTTGGAAGCAGAGTGTTGACATTGGGTTTTATCCAAATATGTAGTCTACGAGGCTGGAAGGTGGTAATGAAAGCCAAGAAAAACAGCCTGGCTCTGAGTCTAACAACCAGGCTTGTCCTTCTGATGAAACCAAAGGAAAACAGTATTTTCTGTCCTTGTTATTCCTTTCCTCCCATCCTACACCTCTTTCCTCGCTCTGCTTGCATCCTGTCCTTTTCTATCTCTGGTGCTTCTGATTTGCAGACTATATTCATTGTCTCCCTCTGTGCTTTATAAAACTCTGTGTGAAAATGTGACAAATATTACATTTTTAATGTGGGAGCCATTTTGTCAGATGCTAACTGTGACAAAGTCACTTTACTGTTATCGTAAAGGGCTATCCAGGCTTTGTTCTATAGTGGGAGTAAATTCAAATTTAAAAAGTCTTCTTTTTTTATAGATGTCAATTTTAATAGTCTAAAAAAATACATTTGTAACATGTGGGTCTGCGATTTGTTACATGGAAGCAAGGCATCTGTGTTGCTGCAACAGTTGAGGAGGTGTCAGTCCCAAGAGGGTAATAATGTAAATGAAGTTGATTAAAGCAGAGATGATGTCACCTGAGTTTCTTCATCTCTCAAACTGGATATTATAAAATACAAAGTCACGTAACTCGTTGTTTGGCAACAGTATGGCACTGAGAGGGACATGGACTATTATCTATTTTAAAAGTGGATGTGGCTGTGTGCGGGTGTGTATGTTGCTTCATGTATCCTTGTGCTGTGTGTGTGTGTGTGCTTGTGTTTGTGTGGGTGGAGGTCAGAACGGAGTGCAGGATAGAGGAACAGATGTGCGCTGTATTGTGGCTGTGTGCGCGGATGGACGGGGACCAGGTGCAGCCTTTGTCTCTCTAGCATTTAAGTCCACTCGCTCGCATTCAGCTGCCTCGTGCCTCCCCTCCCCTCTGTGCACCCTCCTCCTTCCTCCTCTCCTTGGAGGGAAGGCAGAGATGTGTGTGTGTGTGTTTGTGTGTGTGGGCCGGGCTGCCTTGGCTTAAAGGAAGGGTTTGCAGCAGTCCCTTCTGCCCCCCCTTCTCTCACAGGTGACTGTTGGAGGTCCCAGCTGGCCAGCTCTTGGCCGATTAGATCCATATGGTACAGGAGGAGGAGGAGGAGGAGGAGAGGGAACCTGGTTAATTTTGAAATCAATTGCTTTCCTTTTTTTTTTTTCAAAGTGTTTCACTGGTTGAATACTAAGCCTCTGTCAGTTGTTTAAAGTATGTGTTATCCTTTCACTTCAGGACTTCGTAGACTAGAATTAGGATTGCAGAAATACGGCAGCATTTTGGAAGATATACTTGTGCGCTGTTTAATTAAGAGTTACAAATGTCATTTCGTGTAGTATTTTTTTTTTAGCCATGCTTGGGACAAAATGTAGAAAAGGTTAAAGGAAGCTAAGCACTGAAGTTAGAGGAAAATAGGGTTGTAGTTACTCCGGTTCTCTTGCATCTGTTAGATGTCACTGTCACCACAAAGGTTCTCACTTTGATGAGACTTATAAGATGCTATATTTATACTTTTTTTTTAGTCAGATGAGATGTGAGGCACTGTCATGCAAAACTAGGGTAATAAGCTTGACTTTCTTTCTCATAGATAGTACGCACAGCTGGGCTAAACCTCCAAAAAACATCCTGTTGATGTCTTCTTGTCTGACTCATGATAAGAAAACTAAATATTTGACAGCATTTCTTGAAAAAAAGAATTCATAGGGTTATTTTCATGTGCGTGTGTTTGCGTTAACATGTGTGTGTCTTGACCCTACATACTTGTATCATTGCACATGCCACAAATTTTCTTTGTGCTCACTGATAAATTAGTTCGGTCTGTGTTACATCTTCTCTCACCTCATCTACGGTGACAAGACAGAGAGCAGTGTGGTTCGAGTACACACACCACCGCACAGCGGCACACACACACACATGCTTCACAGCTGCCAGCCTCTCACAGGGAGTTTAGACTTCAGAGTTAAAACATGAGCTTAATAAACCCTTACACTGAACCCATTTATTTATACACCACATCAAGTGTGATTTATTTCTGTGGACTCGTTATAGCTTATCCATCCCGTCTTTATGTAAGGAGGTCGATAAATGTTCTCGAAAGTGTATTTGTCTTTTCATTTGCAATTTCATTAGTTAATGGATTGCTTTTACAGCGGTGGCTCAACAGGAATAGTCACATTATGTTTCTCTATCCCTTTCCTCTCTTTCTGAGCCTCGTTCTGAATCATCACTTGCAGAGGCAGCAATTAAAGTCAGCTGAATGTTTTAATGCAGATGAGCGTCACCTGAAGCTGAACAAACAAGGAACACCTGGCTAGCAACAGCAGCCATCACTGCAGATGCATTTTATTTTCCATCCCTGTGATAACAACTGTTGTAGAAAGCAAACACTTAAGGTCAGGAAACTTTCAAGATTGTAAAATTATGGATTATCTTATTTGTGCATGAAGACGTGAGACAGAAAAACAGCAGCACAATATGGTGTGAGTTTGACATGTAATCCTTTTTGGTTATATCCACCAGAAATGAGTTGATGGAGTACCCAGTTTTATATTTTAGTAAGCACTGGTAACAGTGCTATCTGCTTTTTTCAAAAGTATTGCCTATTCATTGTGGCATTTCTGTGTAATCCTGTTGATGTGTGGTGAGGAGCTTTGTGTACCTTCCCTTTGTTGCATTAAAGCAAGGATGACAGGTGGCATTTAGACCAGACAAACACCCCACATCCTCCTCTAAGCCAATATTCACCTGAGTTAACATTAGGCCACTTTGTGCACTCTGTGCATATGCGTTTTGTGGCTGCTGTGACAGCTGCCTCCCGAGACAGCCCTGTGACTATACCATGGACTCAGGTGCTCGCAAGCCAGATGAAGTCATCTAGCTATGTGTGCTGTCTAATTGACAAGCAGAGGCAATTCTCTAAGGGTTGTCAGGAGTACACGCGCACACACCTGATGTCTCCTGCTTTGGCTGTTACCTCTGGCATGGCTAACAGCAGACTGTGCCACATCTTAAGATTGCATGAACCCTGCTGCAGCTTTGTTTCTGTTGCATGCTCAAAGGTCATGCAGTAAGGAATATAAATACAATATGTTGCTATGTTTACATTCTGCAGAATTATGCATGCCTGCCAGTTAAAGTCAAACACAAAATGGTGCTTACAAGTATGGCAGTCAGTTTGGATCCAAACTACTGTTCACATCCAGTGGTTAATGGTTCATAATGTGTCAAAGAACTTGGGAATACACTTCAAGCTGAATTCTCCAATCCTGGCTTTTGTGTACGTATGAAGTTGTTTACTTGGTAAGAGTGTTGACACTGAGGCCATATGCCCCGTTGATTCTGTTATTGAGATGTCAGTCTAATTTCCTGGCCATACGGATGGAGTGTGCGGAGCTTTGGAGCCGGTGTGTGTGTGTGCTGCAGGCTGCTTCCTGCAGTGCACTGGCAGACCGCGTGTGTGGTGGGTACGGCAGTCCAAATGTCTGCGTAGATCCCTCCTTCCTGCCCCCTATGTTCGTGAACAGGTGGAGTGATGGCAGGCAGGCCACGGGGGCTGAGAAAGAATGAAATGGTACGAAGGAGAGAGTTTTAAGAGGACTGCAAAACAGAAGGAAGAACAGTCAAAGCTGTATAATGAGTTGCAGACATGACAGATGAGTTGCACAGGGCAGATTGAGAAAGTGCGAGCAAAGGATGCAAAAGAGATTTGTTGCCAAAACTTGAGGAAATTTGCACTTTTGCATTCAGATCCATTTGTTTTTGTAATAATTCTGCATGTTTTCACATTTTTTGCACTCACAACAGTACCTTTTATTCATTCCGTGGGCTTCTTTTCAGTTTTCTTTGAGTTACCTACTGACAGCTTAAACCTTTTGACTTAAGCCTTTATAAACCCGGACCTCGTGGCTGAAGGCCATCCAGAGTTCATAGCTGTGAAAAAGAAATAAAGGGTGCTATTGAGTCCAAAGCCCTAAAACCATGAACTCACATTTAAAAGCTGCTTTCTGCTAACCTATGACCTGTGAGACCATGCTTGTCTATTAATTGTCAATTCTTGAAGCTGTTAGAAAAGTCTGATCCACTCTAAATGGAGACGGGATCTGGCCCTCATGGTTCTCGAAAAGACAAAGACAGCTTCTGATCCACATCTCCCCACCACTACACCCCCCATTACACTTTCTCCATAGCCCTTATCTGGTGGTCTCATTCAACGTCAATAGCATATTGAGAAGTTGCATTTAACATTCAAAAGCTTTGTCGATCTTGTTAGTAAAGCGTGAAATAGCCCGTCCCTTTTTCTCTGTCTCTCCTATTTCTTGGGGAGCTCAATGAGGAGGCATTCTACTCCCACACAATGGCCTTCTTCAGAATTTCTTCTGTTATTGATCTGAATGGGTGAGAGTGAGGGGCTAAACTTCAGACATCTGGCTCTTTGATGGGGGCAGGGTGGTTGGTGCCCTGGCAGTGTGTGTTGTATCATGCAAAGTGGGTTGAGGAGAGGGGGCTGGGCATTGTTGTTGTCTTTTGTAACAATAGGCATGACGCTTTTGAATTGATTTAAACAACTGAGCTAATGGGGGGTAAAGTTAAAGTGGTGCTTCTTTTTTTAAATTTTTGTGGATGTCATAGCAAGTTACAGTTATTTAACTTTGGTTCACTCATATAGACCTGCTGGTTTCTGATGCCCTCACTACCTCCTTTCCTCTTTGCAGACAGTAGAGAGAAGAAGAGCCCTGCCATGCCCGGTTCTCCTGTGGATGCTAAGACTCATTCCAGATCAGCCCCCAGCAGCAGCGCCAGCTCCACTATGCCACCCCTACCTTCTGTCAACCCCAGTGGCCCACGACCGGCCTCTTTTTCCACCACAGCATGTAAGAGTAATAATTAAATCTATACTTAAAGAATTTCTCTCATTCTTCCAGCTTGTCTTTTTGTTTCCTCTTCAGTCTTTGTTCCTTTTCACAAACCAAAGTTGTAGACAAGCTGGAGTTGTAACCACACTCAGCAGGGTTTATTTTGATTTCTCTTCTCTTCATGTTGGTTTTCCGTCCTTCCCCAGTGACCAATGGGAATCATCATTCCCCACCAACACTGAATGCAGTGCCATCTCCACCACAGCGCTACAGCAATGGACCGTCCTCTTCCTCTTCCTCATCGCTGGCTAACCAGCAGCTGCCAGCCACCTGTGGGGCACGCCAGCTGAGCAAGCTGAAACGTTTCTTGACCACACTGCAGCAGTTTGGCAACGACATTTCTCCTGAGATTGGAGACAGCGTCCGAAGCCTAGTTCTGGCCCTTGTGGTAAATTCTATGATGGCATACTGAAGAAAAAAACAAGTCAACATTTTATAGAAATGCATTTAAATTAAACCTTCCCTTTTCTTATCTTTTAGAATTCAACAGTTACCATTGAGGAGTTTCACTCACGGCTTCAGGAGGCTACCAACTTCCCCTTACGACCCTTTGTTATTCCTTTTCTCAAGGTAAACATGCCTCCACCCCCTCCTTTTCCCATCTTTCTGTATTTGCTTTGTGCAGTTCTGCATGGAATTACTTCCCTTTTCTTTTCACAGCACTAGTGTTCTTCCTCCGTTGAGTTAAATGGTTTTACACCGTGTGGTGTAAAGTTGCCCATCAGATAGTTGCCTAAGTGTAGTTTTGTTAATTGAATTGGCCATTTCAGGTTCAAAGTAACCGTCAAGATTTACGTGTTGACTTGACAAGCAACAGATGACTGTGTGTTAACAGCCTCTTGAGCCCCTCTGTAACCAGGGAAGTCTGCAAGTGTATACTTTTAGTAGCTCCTCGCAGTAAAGCATCCCATAAATCTTGTATAACTGGACTTCAAGCTATAAAAATAGGCTTTTTTTTACACTTACTTCTTGGTTATCTCTGGAGCCCTTCCGTCTGTCTAAATCCTTGATTATAGTCTCTTGTGGACAGCTATTCATTCCTTTTATACTTCTTTGAAGTCCGCTGCCTGGGGAGCATACATATTTCGTGCATTGTGATGTAAATTTTACACGGACGAGTCCGCACAGTCACGAAAAACAGGCAGGCATTTGGACATCAGCATGCACCATCGCACTCAATAGGTGATGATAAAAATGTACATTTCTCAGACGTTTGCGGACACTATCTTACTTGCGAATGGGGGAAAAAGTTAAACAAGACTTTTGGTGGCTGAGACAAGAATGCTCTGTTTTTGTTGTTCTACTGATTTATTGCAATGATGTGGCGTTCTCACTATTTAATAGCAACTGCTGGAGTCTCTCTTAAGAGAGCAGTTGGGACAAGATCTATAGAAAATGTAGAAAAGACAGAGAAGTGGATGAGAAGGAGAGAGGGAAAAGTGGGAACTCGGAAGTGTGAAACATGCCTATAAAGTGTTCCCTTCCTTTTTTATGGTCTTCACTGCGCCATATGGAGCCGTTGTCCCGTTAAAAGAGCATTCAGCTGCCAAGGCGCCGCCAATCTAGCATCCGCCCTGCTGAAGCCCAGAGAACCCAATGCTCAACTGACACATAGCACATGTGTCCGCTAGCTGGGGCCCCAGGGAAAGAAGGGATGCAGAGGAGCATGGGAAACAGGAAAAAAAGGAGAGCCCAGGGATATTATAGAGAGGCGATCGTAAAGCAGAAGTGCCTGCGTCTATAGGGGAACTACAAGCGATACTGTAAGGATCAGCTCACTGAGGCATAGAGGAATGTTTGTTTCAATGGACAAAAAGAGGTCTTTGCAGAGTAGTAAAGTGATGTTTAATTAATACTATATGTAGTTTCAAATACTAAATAACAATAAGAGGTCAGTCACAAAATGAAAACGGCTGGTTATTTAGTTGGTTGCTCAAGAAGAGAGAGAGGAGGGAGCAAGGAAGTGGTGTAATTGCAAACACACTGAAGTCTGTTCCTAATTAGGGAAACGCAGGGAACAAAAGAGAGATGGAAAGATTGGATGGAGACAGTCCCAGATAAATACAAAAAAAAAAACTGAGGGGATGAGGAATTAGGGAGAAGTCTGTGTATCATTTGTTTTGAAATGTTTCTAAATTTCTAAGCCTCTGTATCATCACGCATACCTTTGCTGTGACCAACACATTATGCTCTGCACACATGCTGCTTGCAAGAGGTTCATAACCAACATCAGTTGCAGCTTAGAAAACTCTGATTTTCATTTGAATTAGGAAAGCCGCAGCCTCCTTGGAGGCAGCCGGAGAACAGCACCCAGACACAGATCTAGCCTTACAGCCAGACCCCAAGGAGTCACTGCCCCCCTTAAAACCAATTTTCTTCCAGCCAGGCGTCTTCCCCAGGAGGCAGATCTGCACTGTATCTGTTGGCTCTGTTGCAGCATGAACGTAGTCTGTCTAGGATAGTTCTGGTGTGTTTGGTCCAGATCTCCCCTCCTGTTTGTCACTATCAGGTTTTCTGGTGTTTCTCTCTTTCTGTCTGCATTCGTCTTTGAATGAGTAAAATCAATGCTCATTGATATAGGAGCGAGTAGTGGCCAAAGTCTACTTATACATGGGTTCAATGTGCTCTATGAAAATAACTACCTGCAAATCATAATCAAACTTAACAAGTATAATTTCTTTCTTGTCAGGCAAACCTCCCTTTGCTGCAGAGGGAGTTGCTCCACTGTGCACGGGCAGCCAAGCAGACCCCAGCTCAGTACTTGTCCCAGCATGAGCACCTCCTGCTAAGCACCACTCTGGCATCTTCTCCAGACTCCTCTGAGCTCCTGATGGAGCCTCCAGAGCCTGGAACCAAGAGACACAGCCCAAGCAGGTTAGATAAATGCATAAAAAAGACCTATAATACATAGAGTATATAGGTAAACAGTGAGAGAGCTACATTAAATCACTCCTGTCTCCCCCTCAGGGCTAAAGAGAACGGTTTCCGTGAACGCCCACCTGTAGCTATGGAGCCTGCCGCAAAGCGGATTTGCACCATCAGCCCAGCTCCCCGACACAGCCCTGCTCACCCATTGCCACTGACCGCCCAGCTTCACCCGACCCCTCCACCCTTGCAGCATTACGCCCTGGATGACATCGCAGCACCTCACATCCTGCACCGTGAGCACAGCCAACGTGTTTTGGAGATCCGCGAACTCAAAGACAGGCCACGACTTCCTGGTATGTGATGCAAACTCAGTGTAAGGATATTCCTGATGAACTTCATTTCTGAAGTTGTTTCCAGTCTACATTGTGGGTGATAAGGTGATGCATATTCAGTCTCAGTTGTAGCCTTTGTGACAGCAGTGAATAAGTATTGTAGGCATCCTTGTGAACCAAATATACAAGTGTGTAGTGTCAAACTTGTTTGCACATTTCTGTAGAACATCCGTACAACAGAACTTTATTGGCTCTTTACAGTAGTTTGAATGCAAGTAGCTGCTAACCATATTTAGAAATGAACATACTTGCATGAAGACAGATGCACACAAATATCATATTCTATATGTGATAATGGGTGGTCTGTGTGTTTGTGTAGGCAAGACCCATATATCTCAGGAGTCCACGTATGTATATAAACAGAGCCATACTGTCCAGGCAGGGAGAGCTGGATGTACTCTGGTGTATATCTAGCCTTCATTTGGGGCTTGTCAGCACTCAGTGGAAACATCGGTAGCACACATACACACATACAGACACACACCTTGATATGTTCCTGGTAGAGGTGCTGTGTTTATGAGTCCTTAGTCCCCTGTCTGACAGCCTCCCGACCGCCTGCCGCCACTTAACTCATAGGCACACACACTCACGCATAAACACATCAGTCCACACACTGGTGGCTTTGAACTGATGGACACTGATGAGAACCAGAAGTAGCGAAGATGTTGAGAAGGCAGTGTGCATGAGGGTATCATTGCTCTCCTAAACAACCCTTGTGTGCAGGGTCTTGTTGGTTCTTTCTTACCAAATTTTTAAGAGATTGTGGTTTGCATCTTCGTAGACAGCGTGGGTCTACTTGCATGAACATGTGGATGTTTTTTAGCCTCTGTGTGAGTACAAACTTGTGTGCAAACGCTGATTACTGTTAAATGTATTTGGATATTGCTGATGTCACAGTGTAATGACTGGATTTGAATCAGATTAGCTTTGTTTTTGTGTGTGTGTGCGTGTAGCCGTAATAGTCTACAATGAGTGTCAGAACGGCTGGTTGTGTTTAGAAGTGGAGCCACTCCACTCAGCCTGAGTGTCTCCCTACTGGAATGCTGTGAGCTCCAGGAGGGGAGGTGCTAAGGGAGACGTTTTGGGTGTATGTGAGTGTGTGGTTGACAGCTGACTTCCAGATGTGTGCAAGCTCTGGAGCTCTGGGCGCTGGGAGTCTGTTTTATATCACAGGGGTCTCTTTTTCACTTTCGCTCATTTTTTGTTTCTCACTGTCCCTTTATCTTCTTGCCTCTGCATGTTCACTTGTCCTCAATCAAGGCATGAACAAAAATAAAATAAATAAAACTCCTTTTGTCATCCTTAATTGTTGTGTGTTCGAGTTTTAGCTAATAGCCTCGATTTAGTACTTTTAAATTTGTTTAGTTTCTCATGGTGGGAAATGATAAAATTGTCTTTAAGTTTAATGTAAATATGTTTTTTGTAATTTTAACAGAAGCACTTATTTACCATATATAGACATGCGTAGGTGTTTTTGACTCACTGTCACTTGTGGCTTCTCTTGCATTAAGAAGAATGTTAATCATGATGGCCTGTGGTTTGTCTTGTGTGTGATTCAATCAGGCACTAATGGGGGCTACCGTGAGGAGCCAGTGGACCACAGACTGACAGACAGAGAGTGGGCTGATGAATGGAGGCATCTGGACCATGTAAGTCTGCGGACAGGCACCACTGGTGCTGTTGACTTTTGATACAGAAAGAATGTGATTTGTTTTACTGGGGTTTACCACTAAAGCAATCTATCACAGCTTAAAAGCACACATAATCGGCAGGCCAGAACTTTCTGATAAGACATCATTGGTTTATAAGCTGCAATTAATTTATTTGGTATGGGTTCAAACATTTTATTGAGGGTTCATTATTATTATTATTATTATTATTATTATTATTATTATTATTATTATTATTATTATTAGCTGTTAAGGGGAACTTAGACTTGCCATGATGTAGGAAATGCTCCCTCAGCAAGACACTTTTCCATAGGTACCTATTGAAATAATAGACTGTATGATTGTGTGATTTATTGGCAAAAAAGGCTTGTAGGTAATTTGAAGTAAAATATAAATATAAAGTCAAGAAAGGGTTATGCAATAGGTCTGTGAATGTGGACGTTAATGAGTTTCTTAATGGATTGTGATTAAGACATCCTGAACTACCTTTCCAGGAGATAAATGGTCAGGTTATTGAAAAGGTTACAAGAAGAAGAAACATAGCAAAGACACAAAAGTTTGCTGGGAAATTACAATTATTAACATAAGTCAATGTGTTTTAGGCATTAAAACAAGGTATTTATGTTTAACTGCTTACTGGGATGAAATTCTATCAAGTCAAGGAGATGGTTTGTGAAACTGGTTCTTCATTTGATGATATAAGTACTTTTTGAAACTTCAGACATAGCTATTAAATAGTTGCTTAATGATGTAAGATTTAAATAATTCCTCAAGTAGCTAAAAGCGATCTCAATTAATAAAATTTTGTTTGTCGTCATCAAGGTGTTGAACTGTATTGTGGACATGGTAGAAAAGACACGGCGGTCAGTGAGCGTTCTCAGACGATGCCAGGAGTCAGATCGTGAGGAGCTTAACTACTGGAGACGACGTTCGAGCGAGCAGGAAGACCCGCGCAAAGGAGGACCGGCATCTGCTCCATTCTCCAAGACGCACAGCCCTCACTCTTCTGAGTCAGGTGGGCACTGCTGTTTTTTGGGGTTTCGCTTTTGTGAGGGACCAATAACTTTTCATTGTTTACGCTTCCTGCTTTACTACAGTAAATGTTTCATGATTTTCAGAAAGAAGCCAAATTTATATAATGCTTGATGTTGCACATGCTCTAAACTTCACATTTAACCTGCTAGTAACATGTAACATGCAGAAGCCCAGTTTTTTGGGGGGTTAATTAATTAATTATCCCTTAACATCTACTATGTTTTGGGTGTTGGAAACTGCTTTAAGGATTAACAGTTCAATTCGGGTTAAAAGACTGATGTTTCCATTTCCTTTTAAAAGTGTTATTTATTGTGAGATCAGTTCATTAAATGAACTTTAGAATGGGTAAGCAAATGTCTTTTCTAAAGAAATATAACCATGGGTTGTTCACTCTGGGATAATGATGCTAGATAAACTACAAGCATTGTGAATAATAGCACATAATGATCTGGACATTCTGAGATTAATTTAGGCGATGCAAATGTCCAGTCATTTCTGTTTCATAGTCATTACATCATCTAGTGGTCATTAATAGAACTGCGCCGAAGTCACACGTCAGCGTGTTAGTGAGTCCATCCACAGTTAGTCCCTCAGTCTGCTGTGTACTGGCAGTGTTCTTTCTGCGTGCCAGCCTTGCCATCCCCCTGCTGCTCCATAGTCACAGACAGGTGCCAGGATTGGCCTCCGCCATATCGGCCACAGAAGGGCCGTCCTGCCGTCCTGCAGGCACAGAGACCCAGAGCTAGCTGACTCGCCAGAGCACCATCTGGGCTCCCAGTCGGAAAGCCTGCCTGCTTGCCTAGGCTTGGTCTGCTATAGTGGGGGTGTATAAAGGCTTGGTGAAAGAGAAGGGATGTAAATGAAGGCAAAAAGAGAAAGAGGTGGCGAGATCAGCTGTGAGTGATGGAGAAAGAAGCGGAAAAAGGAGATAAGAAAGGCAACAGTATTAGAGAGGCAGAGCCCAGTAGTGAGTTAGGAATGAATTACGATTCAGGGAGACAGATTTGAGGGAAGAAACAGAGTATTGACACAGCTTGATGGTCTGCATTTCTCTCCAAGCCAAACACATTCCTTTCTGAAGCTGTCAGATCGCAGATCCGTCCAGGACTCTGATAACTAACAATAACATTGGTTGTGTGGCCTAGATATTCGGAATTGTTTGCACCAGTGACAGAATAAATGTCAAGATGACAAAGAAACTATTACTGTCTGTCTATCAGGCCTTTTCTTTTATATGCCCCCATCACCTTCAAGGAGTGTCAGCCCCAGTATAAATAAATGAAAATAAATAAATATATGAAGTTTCAAAGCCCCGGCAGGTGCTAATTGCTTCCGTTTCTGCCTCCCCTGCAGACTCTCAGCGTGATTTTGCTCCACGGCCAGGCTCAGCATATGTTACAGATGAAATCTGGAGAAAAGCTGGTAAGAACATGAAACAAAATTAGTATAAAGACTCAACCAGTTGTTGCATTTACAAAGTAATATTTTGACACACTTAGCAGATTGCTGTGTGCTTTACTTATGCAAGTGTGCACAGTAAAAACAAGGTGAGCCCCACCTAAATCTCTTGTCTTCTCTATAGAAGAAGCGGTGAATGAAGTTAAGCGTCAGGCCATGGAAGAGGTTCAGAAAGCTGTAGCAGAGGCTGAGCAGAAAGCATTTGAGATGATTGCTGCTGAGAGGGCCAAGATGGAAAAGACTGTGGCTGAGGCCAAGCGGAAGGCTCAAGAAGATGCCATCATGGTCATTAATGAACAAGAGGACTCCAGTGAGGTGAGCAAGAACTGCAGAGAAACTACAGCAACAAGATGTGTGTGTATATATGTGTGTGTACATATATGTGTGTTTTATATGTATGTATGCATACACTTAAACTTCCAAGTATGCATAATTTAGAGTTACAGTCTTTTGGGCATTTTTAATAGCAATTACAGATTAATAGTGTAATAAAGCAATAACAGTGGTGCAAATGACTAGATTAAAGTGGAAAAAGGCACTGTGTTTATCGTGATGATTCCACACATAGATTTTTCTGAACATGTTGAAGGGCCTCACATGATTTAGTAAAGAGTCTATATGGGACTCGGTGGGAGGGCAGAAAAATTACTCAAAATGAATGCTTTAGTTGCTGAATCTGCTGAGACAGCTGTATGCATACAAGTTCACAATGATTACTATTGCTGCGTTTGCTTCTGCTGCCCCCAAATGGTCCAACAAATTACTGTAGTTTTGTTTTGTAAGGGGTTTATTTAAAAATGAAAGAATACAAATGCAGTTTGTACAAGTGAGAGATAGAAATGAACTATATCTTTCCTCTCTCATTAGTGTTGCTGGAACTGTGGTCGCAAAGCTAGCGAGACGTGCAGCGGCTGCAACGCCGCTCGCTACTGTGGGTCTTTCTGCCAGCACAAAGACTGGGAGAGACATCACCTCATCTGCAGCCCAGGACTTCAGGCTCAACCCAAACCAGTACCTGCAAGCAGAGTGGCTGCCGTGGCTACAGCAGCACCGGCCGCCACCGTCGTGTCTCCTGTTGGTCTGGCTGGGGTCAAAGTTCCTGACAGTGTGCCTTCAGTCTGCAGTCCAGGTGGGGAGAAGGCTTCAGTCGCTTCGCGTTCATCCACTCCCTCCACCCCTGCCTCGGCCCCTGAGACGAACGGACACTAGGAGGCAAAGGACCTTGGCGGTGCATGTGTCACCTACCCTCTTCAAAAACCGGGAAGAACTGAAACTGCAGCATGAGGGAACTATTTGTGGGTTAAGTTAGGATAACAGATTTTTCAACATACTCTTTGGCAGATAAAAAAGGACAGATTATGGATGACTGTTTGAGTGATATGTCAACTGGGACTTTGGCTTTGGCAAAGAACAGAAGGACTCCTCTTGAATGCATTAATTGGATGAACAGATCTCCCTAGCAGATGGAAACGTGTTTCTCATCGTCCAAAAACCAAAATCTTGGATGTGTGAGGGGTGGAAAAAAACTGATTGATCTCCGTTTGTTCTCTGGTGGCAGCGTGGAAGTTATGAAAGGGAGGCATACGAGAACAAACACAGGAGATTAAAGAACAATGAGGTATAAAGATATTTCCCCCCATGTACCAATATCCTCACTTTGATGTGTATAAATCTAAGCTTGGGAGGAGGTGGTGGTAATTGTAAACAGTGTAATAGTACCAGCGCTAAAACATCTGTCTTCGTCCTGTAGGAAAAATCTGACCGTAGACCACGGAAGAGCCGTCTCCGCAGCTCCGGTGTATACATAAATATTTGCTCGCCAATCTTGTCAGATTATCATATGTGTGAATGTGTGTCAAAGAGTCGTGCTGTCGGTGAATATTGTAAAGCATATGATTATTTTTGTCAAAGCAATACTGAAATATTGTTCAGGTATTTCAAGACCTTTGCATCACCAAAGTCGCTAAAGAGAAAGTTATTGTAATTGCTTGTAACTGTGTTTGTGAAAAAGAGATAATACTACACTAACGCCCACACGTCATATTTACTTTAAAAAAAAAAGTTAAACTCTGGTCATTACTTTTTTTTTGCCATTTCCAATCATTAGAAGGAACACAGGCAAAGTGATGGTGGTGGATCCAGTAAGCACAGAAACATTCAGTTTGGGCGTTTCTCTGGCTGCAATTTCACTTTGGCACTTGTTCATATCACCAGCTGTGTATGGCAGGTCAGATGTTGCTCAGAACACCTCCACCACTGTAATATTTGCATCAGGGGACAGGAGTGGTATGCTTTCCAGCACCGTTTCCAACAAATACAGGTATTAAGCTATGAAAACTAAATCGGTTTCACTTCAGCTGAAATTTTCACTGATGCTGACAACGCCGTGGTGAAGGTGCAGAGCGCTGACTCTGTCCCACAGAGAATCTCAGGAGCTTAACTGTATTTGTATGTACAGACCGTTCTTGTTCTTTTGTAACAATGAAACCTTGTATAACTTGACGGTTAGGTGAAAGTCAGATGTTTAGTGTGGAAATTTGATTTATGGTACTCTGCTGTTACAACTGAAACTTGCTTGTTTCCATGTGTTGTAAGATGACTTTGTAAAGAATATTATGAGAGAATGCCTTTATTTTGTGAGCCACAATTTTTCCTCTTCATTCTTTGAACATGTTTTTTTTGTTATGAGACATAACTTCATATGGAAATCATATCTTGACATGAAGTATGAAATAAAGAAGTAGAGTTACTTCAAAGCGTTTCCCTGATGTTTGTGCTCATTTTTAGAAATATGCAAAAAAAAAAAAAGTCTTCCTGGTAAAATGTGTCTATTAATAGAGGTGTCATATATACTCGGTTGACACTGAATTAAGAAATTCTCCTTTTTTCACATAATCACAATCAGCTGCAAATGTTAATGTACGATATTAGAGAGTAGTAGTGAATAAAACAGCTCCTTTGTATAAAATATGACTACATAAGTTATTTGGTCATGATATAATAAGGTATTTTTCTACAATTAGTCAAATAATAGATAATAATAGCAGTAATGAAGGTGCTAAACTGGAGTTCTGAGGTTCTTTCAAAAAGCTGCATGGCAGTGAATTTTACATCCTCTTTGTCTCTTTATTGAATCATTCAGTGAGTCCAGTTTAAAAATGCAAGACACATCTTTGAAGTCTGAAGGTACAAAGTAATGAAGTAAGCTCTTGGTGAGAACGGACTACTCTAAAGTGGGTTGAGTTAAAGTTCTGCCATGTATTATGTATAATGTTTTCCACCTTTGAATTCGATTAATATTCTAGTGATTTTACTGAAGAACAAATGTTGTAGGAAAAAAAAGTGATCACGGGAGATTGTGATTCGACGGTTTTGTCATTGTCACGTTTAAAGAAATGCAACTAAAAAAAAAACAAAAAACAGATTGATGCAATAACACACATTACCACAAGGTGGCAGTGTAATCCCTATGTTGATAGTGAAGCCTCTTGATTTCGGTTTAGAAGATTCGGTTTGTGGATGAGTCCATTGCAGAATTGTAGTTGTTACAAAAGTATCAAAAAAACTACTAAAAACATGCAAAATGTTGTTCGATATATTGCATATTACTAGGAAATAATATTTAAGGCCTAGAAGACAAAATGTCAGTTGGTCACTGCTCTCTCATCTTTTAACTAAACTCACTATTTGCAAAGCAGCTAATAAGCAGAGTAGCTGCAAGGAACACTGAAAAGTAAACTAAAAAAGTATACTTTTAATCCCACCACATTATATAAATCATATATTTCACACCTAAAACCCTTGCTTGACTGATGCTATGATCCTTATTGTCAAAGTAGCTGCAAGAACTAAATTATAGGCACAATATAGACAGTCTTCTTAACTGCTGACCTTCCACTAAGCAGGGATTTCTGTTCTTTTGCCTTGTCCTACTGACTTTAAGTATTAGTAGTAATAGTATGATTATAAAGAGATTTTGTTGCTCACTAGTTGAAAGAAAAATTAAACATTACCTCATCTGTACATGTAACAGGATGCTCAGTATATTAATTCCCAGTATAACTGGGAATCAATAAAGACGTTTATGTGTACTGTGTAGGAGCACTCCCTATTTAGATATGAAACTGTTTCCGCTGCTTCTGTAAATACTATTCTTTTGTTCTGTTTTGCATATCCAATGTTATTTTTGGACTAATTTTCCATGAGTTTCTAGCTCTTGCACTACAAGTATGCTAGAAGAAAAAGTAGAATCAGCAAGCAATCACAGTAGTGATAGTGTCAGACTGTTTGTGTACATGTGCCAGTCTTTGTTGTGGATAGAGGGGCATCTCTGTGTGTGGTTAGCTTGCTTCTTGGCTCTCTCACCACACTGTTGTAGTGCTTGTGGGGAGATACTGGCTTAATTATGTGTCTGGTTTCTGTCCCAACTTTTTGCCTGAGGCATATTAATAGAAGTCACTTAGGATTCATCATCTTTTTCAGAACTTTCCTTAGAGACAACTCACATTCCCTCCATCATATTCTGTCTGCCCTTTGATAAAATTTGCTAATGGTTTTTGACAGCACGCTATTATCAACACTTAGTATTGTTCAAGGTCAGCGGTGCTTTACAGTAATCTACTCGGAAACCCGTTTTTGTACTTTGCTAGTGCTGTGCTTGACCTGCATCAGCCGCTACATGAAATTTTGCTTCATATCCTAATCCATGTAAATCTAACTGCATGGGCTAATAAATTCCACTCATAGCAGAACCCAAGTGAGTATGAGTCTTTAAGTCAACGAGGACAAGTGACTCAGTATTTCAGAGGCAAGATGCCCTCTGAACACGTTACCTCCCACACAACCAAGTCTCCAGCTTGAAAGAAATGGAGATACTGAGGCATGAAATGGGACAACAGCTGCTGCATTTTCAACTTTGGCCCCAAGCCTAGGTATTTCTGAGCAGGTTACAGCTCAAGACGGCAGACATACACAACAAATGTACAATGATTGATGTATAAATCTGTGAAGACAATATTTTTATTTTTATGTAGAGCTTTTGTTTGTCTGTTTATTTTTATTTATTTATTTTATTTTTATTTATTTATTTATTTTGGGG